ACTGATGGGGGGGGACGGTTTAAATTCCTTGTTTGGTTGTTAAATTCCTTGGCTCCCGCAGGAGACAGAATCAGACGCTCGCCCCACTGAGCCACCCGGGCGCCCTGAGATAGGCCCACCTTTTATAGAGCTTTCCCTTAAGCCCAACCAGCAACTTCTGCTTCTATCTCACTGGTCTGGGTCACATGGCCATGCCTAGCTGCCAGGGAGTCTGGGAAATGCAATCTTTCTAGCTGGGGACGTCACCATCCTGGACAAAATGAGAATTCTGGAGTAAGGAAAAAGGGAAGGGGGAATGGCTTTGAGAGGTCGATTTTCAGGCCTTGCTACTGCTCCTAATCTTCCTTTCTATGTAGAGAGACAAGCTCAGCAGTCTCTCCCCAGTAATCTTCCAGAAGGAGCCGGACACACCTCCCAGGCAGCCATAGAATTCAGCTGTGAAAATTGCCCTAGAAAAGTCCTCCAAAAGGGAGCTTCTTATCGCTGCCTGCCGGTAGAGTCTTCAAACCAAGATCAAGTTTTTAGTCTATTTTCCTCGAAATAGATTGGCTCCGTGATACGTGGGAGCAGTTGGGAAACAAGCTTTTTAGGAGGGGTGTCTTAGTTCTTATCCTCACTTCCTGTTTCCCTGGGACCCACACGAGGCCAGTGCAGTACGGGGTCATCCACGTGGCCACAATTCCATTCAATTATCTGCCCTACACACTTGCTCCAAAGCCTAAAATGCCACCATTAGGCACTCCCTCCTTTGGGTCAGGCATTACTCTTTTAGGTGCCTCTTAAAATGTCAGTCCTCTCTAACAGGGGTAAAAGAGTATTTAACCCACCACCTTAGTGTGGGTCTGAGCTCACTAGCCCTTTTCCTCCTCCCTTGGAATTCCTGCCCAGTAGGCACTTGGAGGCACTGAAACCTGTGAGGGGGAAGGTGGCTGGGGTGGGGCAGGGGGCAGAGAGGGACAGCATGTCTGTCCTGGAAAGGAGGGGGGCACGCAGCTGGCTCACCTCCTTTACTGTAAAAGCTGCAGCCGCACTGGTACTTTGGTTGGAGGTATTAATAAACTGCTGGTAAGTTTGGGTCCAGCAGATGGCAACCCCATGACCTTTGAGTTGACTTTGCCTCCCTTTCTCTCCCCACCCACACTTCTCAACCCGAAGACTAAAAATCTGGCTTTCCTGTAACTTGCGTTGACTTTAACTCAGGGAATAACACTGCTAGTAAGAGACGAACACAGAGGGTGGCGGGCGGGGAAATCAGCATTCCCCAGAAAGCCTCGCGTCAAAGTCACAGATAACGATGACGTGGTCACGCGTCCATTTCTTGCTGCACGGAGCCTTCCTTTAGCCCGGGCTTTCCAGGGAGACATCGTTGGCCAAGAGAGGTGGCAAACCTCTCCAGTGCCACCTCAGACCCGGGCAGAAGAGGTCCCTATTCCGGACCGCCAGGAACGGGCACTGGGCCTCCAGCTAGACTCTTTCTCACGGGGCAAAGAGTTCTTAGACCCAACGGGTCATGCCCACCCAAGGCCTTCTGTCCCCTTGTAAACCATGCTCCGATCGCTTCTCAGCCTTTTGGCTAAGATCAAGTGTAGTAAACCATGCTCCGTATACCAGGACACCAGAATCCCCCACCTGAGTGGCCCTGAGCTGGCTTCCAGGAGTTGCAGCCCTCTTCCCGGATACTTCTTCTTCGGGATAGACCACACCACTGGCATATGCACCTTTGGACCCTAGGGATGGCCAAGGGAGGGCTGTCTGCGCGAGAGGGGTGCAGGTGGAACCCAGTCTTGTAGGCTGGTAGGCACACCAACATGAGTGTGGGGCCACTGAGGGGGAGCCAGGGGAGGGACAGGGAGAGGACAGGCTGCTGTCTTGGGGCCGTTTGTTCGTGGGCCACCTGGTGCTAATACAAAATTCTGAAGCACCCAAGAATTCGAAATTCAAACCTCGTCTTCCAGGCTGGTATGCAGGTATGTTTGCAGGAGAAGAGAACATATTTTGCTTACCATATTTCATATATTTTGTAAGCCTGATTTATAATGTGTAAATACCTAGACATACGCTATGTGGCCTCTGTTTGTACTTTGGCCCCAGGCCCTGCAAATAGTAGGGGCCAGCCTGTTCCACAAACATATTTTACTCGGGCTGCAGGGCGTTTTGAAAACTGAGAGGTTTCGGGGCGCCTGAGTGGCTCCGTCGGTTGAGCATCCCACTTCGGCTCAGGTCATGATCTCACAGTCTGCGAGTTCGATCCCCGCGTCGGGCTCTGTGCTGACAGCTCAGAGCCTGGAGCCTGCTTTGGATTCTCGCCCCCTCTCTCTGCTCTTCCCCTGCTCATGCTCTCTTTCTCTCAAAAATAAATAAGCAAAAAATATATAAAATAAAATTGGAAGATTTCATGTACAAATTCTGATTTGGGCTTTTCTTGACACGTTGCAAGATATGGCAACACTGGACCTGAACTCCCACAGGGCAGTGTGGGATAGAACCAAAGGGCAGCTGCCTGCTCTAGGCAGACAGGCACTCCCTCCTCAGTTTGCCACACTCCCCACCACTCCCAGCTGCCCTACATGGACTGAGCTTCATGTATCTGCATTGCCTGCCTGAGCCAAGTGTGGGTCTGTGGCCCACCAGCCGGAGGGAGCGGTCCCTGTTGGGTAGGAGGTTGGGACAGAGCTGGGGGGTGGGATCCATGGTCAGAGAGCTCTGCAAGTTCAAATTTATTCAGAGCCTCTCCTCCAGTGGTCCTGTGAGATGAAGTCAGCACTTCATAACTCCCCCAGGCTCAGCCTGATGCTTCCTTGACCAGACTGATCAGAAAGGAGAAGCGCAACTGCCTGGGGTCATTAGAAAGTACAGAATGAAAGAGGAAGAGCAGGTCTCATCAAGAGATGGGAACCGTGCACGTGAGCTCTGCATTTCTAGTCGGGGCCCTGAATGTCACTCAGTAGATGTTCGGCACAGGTCATGTGCTTTCTGTGGGGGTTTCTGGGGGGAAATCACAATGCTAGAGAGGAGTGGGGAGGAAAATTTCTGATTGGAAGGAAGCCTGCCCCAACCTCCCATGAGAGGCCAGGACTTGGTGGAGCCGGCCATAAAGAAAGCAGGGCCTAAAGTTCTGCTTCCTAAGAACGTGAAAGAAAAATGAATTCTATACGATGCACGTAATGGCTGCCGTCACCATTGGCTTCTTCGCCCTGCCCGGGCCGAGAGGAAACTGATGAGAGGGATCCTCGTTGCCGCAGCCCCTCATCACATAATCCTTAGTCCACGCGGAGTCCGGGAAGAGGAAGCCCCACTTACCAAGTTTTGTTAGGCGACCAAAGGTGAAAATGTCAGACTCTGCTACTAGCTGGGGAAGGTCTTCTGTCTCCAGCAGGCTCTGAGTGCAGTTCCCACACTCTGGGCATCGGCGGGCAACAGCTTCAGGGTTGAGGGGCCCGATAGTGGCAATGTGGCTTCAGAGGCCCTTGGGTTAGACCCCCCCACCCTGTAGAGAGGCCACAAGGAGGTCAGGTGACCACGTGCCAGGATGCTGTGTTTCCAGACCTCTGCAGAGTTCAGCAGTCACAGTAACCCAACACCAGCATGATCCCAGTGGGGCAGGAGAGACAGGGCGGGGGAGGCCCAGCACTGAGGCCTTGTATCAAACCAGCCAGATCTGTGGGCCGGCGGGTTAGGAGGTGCTGCTCCTCTCTTTTCCTTGGGGTCACCATCCCAAGATGGTGGGTTCAAGGGACTCACCATCCCAAGATGGGTGCCAACAGGGAGACCACGGGCAGTGGTCGTCCCTCTGAAGGACCAAGGGGTGAGTTTGAGGTGGCTGCGGAAGAGGCTGAACCAGACACGTCCTGTGGCGATCCCTGTCACTATTGCCCCCAGCTGACTCAACAGAGGCTGCGTGTGGGGGCAGTCCCCACCGTTGGATAAGGCTGCGGCGTGTAGGCCAGTGGGCACTCGACCTGGGGACCTATGAGAGCAGGGGACCCAGAACATACTGGTTTCAGGCTCTGCCCAAACCAGAGAATTTGAAGACCTGAAGACAACCCTGTGTCAGTGAGGCACTTACTGCCCTCAAACTATGCTCAAAATGGCGGCCTGTGGAGCCCAATGGAGACAGGCAAAGCCGTGTGTGCTTTATCGCAGCTTCTCAAGGGAGGTGGGGTCTTTAACAGGACGTGTAGGTCCATTGGCAGGAAATTCCCCAAGGACCTAAGCCACATGCTGCCCCTTGAGAGCACGAGGCAGCACTTTCCCCGTGTTGCCCTTGTGTTCCTAGAACACCTTGCACGGAGCCTGGCATGCAGCATCACCCAAGGCTGGCTTTCTGGGAGGAGCAGAGAAAGTATAGTTGTAAAGGTGAGGGTATCAACCTGAACGACCATTCCTCTGAATGGCATCTTGCACTGGTCCTTCTCCCTGTCTGGAAAGTGGCCCGTTGACAATCCAGGAAGCGTGAGGCAGTGAGGAATGGAAGGTGGGAAG